GTATCACATACACTTTATTTATGCAGAGACTAGTGTTCTATAAGAAAAATAAATGATAAAAAAAAAAAGGAATCAAAGTCGTTGTGTTACACGAGTCTTTAATAGCTAAAGTCAAGACTTTTTGTTAACCCAAGAATGCTAAAAATAATTTAAAAAAGCAAATGTATAAAAAATTATTCAAAACATTGAGTTAGTATCCCCATGTGGTGAAAATTCTAGATGGACCCACTACAAAGACTTTTTATCAAAAAATTTCAAACGTTTACAGCAAACGACATAATTGTTTAGTTTAATCAAACAACAGTGATTTGACTTAATAATTATATATATCTACCCTTGAAAAAATGATTCAAGAAAATATGGATTCTTCTTTCTTTTATGAAGTTATGAATACACATTTTAAACTTAATAATTACATGTATTTGACTTAATAATTATATGTATCTACCCTTGAAAAAATGATTCAAGAAAATATAATATATAATCTATCAGCTTAAACAACTGAAAAAACCTAGAGGACCCTCACTGCTAAACCCCACATCCAAAGAAACAGGGTTTGGTTTGGTTTTGTTTTAGATGAGACATTGAATCACACAAATTGCTCTCCTCGCATCATATTGAATATAGGCATTGATGTCTCGTGGAAAGCTACAGACTTCACGCCTTATTTATTACTACATGGAAAGAAACAGGGTTGGTGTAGATCTTTAAAGGGTCTGATATTTGGTCCCATACCCAAAAACCTAAACCAGTCACTAGACAAATGGAGTGACCACTCATTTCTTATAGTCTAAATATTCCATAAATGAAATACCTAAAAGCTTTTAAAAGAGTGTCACTCTTTTAGTTTACCTTCCCAATTTGTTTACTCATATGAACTAAGATTGGTTTATACTTAAGTAAGCATCATTAGTGAAAAAAATGAAAGAAGAGAGTAGAAAGATTTTAAGTTTACTTACTATCTTGTTCGTCGAAATCGATACTAATCTCCCTCTCCCTGCTGCAACAAGCCAATCTTCTTCTCATAAGCATCATCTTTTATTTCTCCTCTTTTGAAATTCCTTGTGCTTTTGTTACTATTATCTTTCTTTATTACTAAAAAAGACACAAGCTTCTCCTTCTAAATCAGGTGCTATTAATTAAATAATACCAACCCTCTGGTCCCTGCATAAATACGCATTAAAGATTTTTACAGTCAAGATAACAATTTTTCATAAAGGAAACTATAAGAAAGGCTAAAAAAGCAAAATGGTGAAAGAGAATTAAACTAATGTTGTTTCAATTAACAATTAAAGTTTATGTTGAATTCTTCATTTACCAACTACCAAGAACCTGCAAAACAACCACTATGCACCAATGAACCATGGAAGAAGACAAACCATACTCTCAATTTTATATTTTGAATAATGGGACAAAAAGAAAGTATATATTTACTGTACAGAAGATTAGGGAACGGAGTTGTTATATTTAACTCTTAATCAGCTTTTTTTGGGGTAACTAATCATACTTTTAAGGAAACGATTAAAAAAGGAGTTATGATGTAAATCTTTTACTAAAAAAGTGGTACTTAAAAAGGCAACATCTGAAATTAAATTTCCAAATTCTTAAACTATTCCCAAAATGAAACTACCAACAG